AGGGGAGGAGGGAGGGAAGGGAGGGGGAGGAGGAAGGGGGAGGGGAAAGGCGGGGGATGGAGTGGGGAGAGAGAGGGAAGGGAGAGTGGGGAGGGGAGAAGAAGGGAGGATGGGGAAGAGGTAGGGATGAGAGGATGTGAACGGAGGGAAGGAGAAGGAGGAGGGATGAGAGAATGAGAGAAGAGTTGAAAGAGGATAAGGGTAGGAAGAGGGAGTGAGGAGGGAGAGAGGGAAGAAGAAATTTCTGGAGACAGACACCCCAAGGACCAATCGCTGATGCTTGAAGAGCTAGGTGGGAAGTCCCCGGCTGAGAAGGTGGTTCCCTTGTCAGACCTGCTGGAGACAGCTCTCACCCTCACCTAGGATCCTGTGGGAAGGGTGAACCTGGGCTCCATGGAGATGGACAAGCCGGTCCTGGGCATCATGTAGGAAGTCATAAGGTGCTTCTAGGCAGATCGGAGTCACAAGACAACACCCAACTGAGCCCTAATCTTGGCCTGCCTGGGCCCTGGGTGTGGGGAAGAGTACACAGGACGGTTCCAGGCCAATGTGGCCATCAACAGGGTGAAGGATAGGGGTCAGGGACACCTCTCCAAGGTGACTTTGAACCTGAAACTGACGTGGTAAGAAAGACTGGGAATCAGGGTATCCCAGAAGGAAACTGACGTCGAGGGACACAGCAGTCTTCAGTCTAGCCAAGCAGGATTCCAGCCCCAGGCCCAGTTGACCCCAGGCTGGGCAGGTGATTGCAGAGGGCCACCAGTCAGGCTGGGCGTGAGGTAGTTAGGGACCCGAAGGACTGGTGCCCAGGCTTGTGGAAGGGAGAACCCTCCTGTTGGCTCCGGGGCGGCTGTGGCCTCCTCCCTGGTGAAGAGGTAGGCAAGATCCAGACACTCCCTGTGCTAGGTTCTAAGGTGCTAGAGTGGCCACTGTATGGGCCAGAGGCAGCCAGGCTGTGCAGCCCATGTGACCCTGGGCAAACAGCCTCACCTCTCCATGAAGCAATCTTGTGTTTCTTTTACCCAGCATTTTTTAACCTGTGCTCTCACTGGGTCCCTGGAAACTTCTATGGCCTGTGGGGAGAGGTGGCATGGTGGACAGAGAATGGGTAGGTGAGATCTGAATGTTCTTTGGGTATGCTCAGTCCTGGTTTCTGTCAAGGGCCTGTCTCCATGTGCCCCAGAGAGGCCCATCCTTTAGGCTCTTCAAGGCGATCGGCACTCCTGAGGCCTCTCCCCACCGCAGCCTCTTTTCAAATCCAACAGCTATGTTTGCTGTGGGCTTGGCCACTGACTTCACAGCCCAGACCTCAGTTTTCCTATGCAAGCCTACATTGCTCCAAAGGCGAGCAGGCGCTGCTCAGCACCCCTCCCTCTTGGTCTTTGTCCTGTCATCCGCCCATAGCCCCCTGCTCTGTGTCCACCTTGGCTCCAAAGAGGTGTTGGGGGAGACTGTTGGACTGAGCTTGAGTTCCATTCTGTTTTTCTCTACATTCACAGACACACAGACACACAGACAGACACACAGACAAATGCCCAGACCCTGGCTTCCCAGCACCCTGTGCCTCTAGGTCCTGTCGATGCCCTCCCACCCTCTGGAGGCCTCATCTTCAGGATGCCCTGTCTGGGCCATGTAAGACAGTGGCTACTGCTGAGGTCCCCTCACATGCAGAACTGAGTGGGTGGTCCCCACAAGAGTCGAAGGAGGAGCCTTGGAGGACTTGAGGACAGAGTCAGGGTCCTGGTGCCCTGCATGGTCCCCAGGCCCTAATACCATCCCATTGGCTCTATCACTACCAGGCAGTAAAGGAAGCTGGGGTCTGTGACTTCCCCTTCCAGCTGCGTGCTATGAGTGTGTGTGTGTAGGGAAGTTTACTGTGTGGTACTTATGGTATGGTATGTAGTATGTATGTTGTGTGTATGTATGTGGTATGTTTGGTGTGTTTATGCTATGTGTGCGGTGTGTATGTATGTAGGATGTGTGCAGATGTGGTGCGTGTGTTTGTGGGGTGTCTGTGTGTATTTGTGGAATGTGTGTGTTTGTGGCATGAATGTGTGGGTCTCTGTGGGGTTTATGTGGGGTATATGTGTATGCATGTGGAATGTGGAGTGTGTATATATGTAGGGTGTATGGGGTGTGTGGGTGTGTGCATGTGTGTGCATGTGGTGTTCGAGGGTGTATGTTCATGTGTGGAACAGCTGGGAGGGTGACGGCAAGGTCCCTTCCACAGCCCAGCTCAGGCTTCACCACAGCCCAGCTCAGGGCCTGCAGGATTTGCTAAGGTGGCTGGCAGGGACATGTGGCTGTTTGTTTGATTTCCCCCGACTTCCAAACTAGTTGAAATTACACACCAAGCATCGATTTAATTAAGTTTTCCGGTGTGTGGCATAATTAGTAAGACACACCACAGAACAGGGTGGGCGGGCCCATCCTTGCCTGCCTGTCAGGAGGCTCTACCCTCAGGCCACAAAATGTGGGGGCTGGAGGGTGAGGGACATGGCATCTCCATGTGTGTGTGGCCTTATTGTCCATGGGAGGAGAGCTGCGGTGGGCCTGCCTCAAAGGTGACCCTAGACTCCAAACTGACCCCCTGAACCCTAGGGAGCCCCCCCACCCCCTCCACAGAGCCAGACCTGAGCACTGGAAAAGCCTGGCTCCTGGCCTTCCACACAGCGCTGTAGAACCATCACTAGTTTGCACAAGGCTGTTCTGATCACCATCTGATCACAGGTTGGTGGTTGTCTGTGCACAGAAACATGAGGCCCTCAGAGGGCAGAGGCCAGCATCTTCCATGGACCCCCAGTGCCTTCTTGAGACCCAACCAGCTGCCCAGCTATGGGTTCCATCCTGCCAGAAAGGTGAGCCTCCACAGGCCCTTGAAGGGAAGGCTCCTCTGTCCACTAACCTGCGGCAGGCTCCAACGGTCAGGACAGCAGGCTCCAACAGTCAAGATCAAGCCAGAACCTCCAGCTTAGAAGCACCATTGGGACCTGAGTCAGGACTGGCCACCCTGCCCAGCTGAACCAGAGCCCCAAGTGTAGCCCCCTGAGTGTCTACTAACCATGTGTCACCATAAAAGTGGACACTTATTAAACTCTTATTGTGTGCATAGGCTGTCCTCGGTGCTTTAAAGTGATTATTAGAGGCCCATCCTTCGCCCGAGACAGCTGCAGCTCAGCTGGCTGTGATGCTTCTGCAAGGTACAAGGTAGAGTCAATGCAGGAGGTGGGAATGGAGCCCAGCGTCCAGTGCTACAGTACACAGGCCTGACCACAGGGGAAAAACCAATCTCTTGATCGCCCTCTACCCATTTCTCAGTCCACTCTGCCATCCTTCCTCCCCCTACTCTACACATCCTCCCCTCCATCTTCCCACCTTTGTCTACCCTTCTGTCCACTCCCACCCATCAAGCTGCCATTCTCTGCTCCCCCTGTCTTCCCTCTATCCCTCCATCCCTCCTCCATCCCCTCTCCTCCCTCTTCTGTTCTTCCTCCATCCCTCCTCCATCCCCCTTGATTCCTCCTCCATCCCTCCTCCATTCTTCCTCCATCCCCCTCCTTCCCTCCTCAGTCCCTCCTCCTTCCCCCTCCTGTCCCCCCCCCTCCGCTCCTCCATTCCTTCTCCCCACCACTCATCATCCATCTACCCTTCCTTGCCATCAAACTGCCAACAAGCTCCCTTCCCCTCCTGTCCTTTTCCTGCTCCACCCTCCCTGCCCCTCCTCTAAGCGCTGTTCCAGTCTCTAAACCTTATTTGAGCAGCGCTGCAGCCAGGCACCTTCTGCACGATGGCCTGGGGACTCACCTGCGAGGCTAGCTCTGCCCTGGCTCCGTCTAGGCAGCCACCTCCATCCTGCCCCAAGTCAGACTCTGTTAGCAGGTATCTTGCTGGAGCCCTGAGTTGGTCCATGTCATGCCCCCGCTCCCATCCCAGCAAGCTCTGCAGGGAGGGAAGCAGAGCCACCTCAGGGGGGCACACAGTGGGATGTGCCTTAGGGGGCACAACTAATTTTAACGACAGCCTTAGGAAAAAGAAAAATCTGTCCCTTTTTCCTCTCTTTGGGGGGGAAAAATGTGTTACATTTTTGTTGTGGGTATGACCGAAAGCCTCAGCCACTAGGAAAGCATGACTCTGGTGTCACCAGATCATACATATCTGCCCACAACTGGAAGGACAGGAGTTCCGCACAGGGCAGCAGCCTCACTTTGGACTTTGGTAGTATAGCAGGGACCCAGGGTGTGTCCAAAAGCCCGAAGCCCTGTGAGCCCTCCCTGGTCTGCTGGGTACCTAGCAGAGCTCTGTGAACTTTGACCCTTTGATCTGCCACGGTAGGAGAAAGCTAGCATTATGCCCATGGTGACCTGGGCACCTGTGGGCCAGCTGACGACCCCTGGCATCAGCTGGGAGGGGTCGAGCCTCCCAGGCTGCTTCAGGAGGCCAAAGATGGGGAAATGGATCCTCCTTCCTCTCCAGGGACCGGTTGACCCCAGCCTTCCTGGCTGGCTAGGTGACAGATAAGGGCACGTGGCTGGCGCTCTCAGTAGACTTGTATCACAGCTGTGGTCCCTGCGGGATACAAAGCTCTTGACACTCCCCTCTGCCCGCCCCCCCCCCC